ATGCCGGCGTCCGTCGAGGGCAGCAAGAAGGCGCTGATCATGGTGGAGGGCGGTCCTGGCAGGTCGTCGGTTAGCTTGGAACTGTTCATGGACAAATTGCACCGCGAGCTGTCTGGTGAGTTTCACATCTTCACCGTGGATCATCGAGGCACGGGGCGCAGCGGGCGCTTGGACTGCCCGGCGGCCCAAGCGCTGAGCTTAGGCAGCCACTACATCTACGACATCTCATCACAAGAAGTCTCAAACTGTTTGAAGGACATCCATCACCAATTCGGCACCAATGCCGCGGCCGCGTACTCCATCACGAACGCAGCGAAGGACTTGGCCATGCTGGTTGAGACCGAAATGGCTGACTACGACGTGTATCTGTACGGGATGAGCTACGGCACGTTGGTAGTGGAACGCCTGATGCACTTCTCGCCGCCCCAAGTCAAGGGCTACATCCTCGACAGCATCTGTGCCGACCACTACGAACCTCAAGGGACCGGAAACAACCAAGTGTATAGCAACTGGGACGACGACGTCAAGCACGTGAGTCAGCACTTCCTGGACCTTTGCCAAAAGGATACGGCCGTGTGCGGCAAACTCCTAGGCGAAAACGCCACCACCACCTTATTCAACCTGTACGACACGCTGGATGCGAACGCATCGGCATGCTCGGCTATCTTTTACGACACGCTCGAGAACAAGCCATCCGTGTTTCTCCGCCTGTTCTTTTTCAAGCTTCTCGGCCGCTACGACCGTCGCAAGTTCATCCCGACGTTTGCCGCCCGCCTAGAGCGCTGTAATGCCCAAGACAAGGACGTGATGACCGCGATTCTAACCAAAAATGATCCAAGAGAGAATTCTGTGGTCTTGCAATCTAACCTCCTCCAAGACACCATCGTGTACTCCGAGTTGTGGCAAGTGCCCACGCCGTCAATGGAGGACATCAAGCAGCAGTTCCTCGCGTCGCCTATGGCCGTGAACGACCCGGACAAAGTCGGGAGCTACTGCGTCTTCACGGGCTCCAACTCGTCCGAGTGCGCGCCGTGGGTCGATATGAACGTCCCCCCCTGGACATATACCCCGGACAAGTACTTCAACAAAACCGCGGCCATTCCCATCGGGGTGTCTGTGCTCGGTCTCACGGGCAACTTGGACCCCCTGACCCCGTCAAAGCATGCCCGACGACACTTTAACAACATGAAAGGCGACAACAAGAAACTGGTTGAGTTCCCCGTGGCAGTGCATGGCGTCATTGGGAACACCCCTCTGTCGGACAACCACACTGATCCCCACTGCGGCTTGCTTGTGGTCGCCGATTTCCTTCTCGCCAACGGCGCGCTGGACGCGATAAACTTGAACTGCATGGACAAGGTGCAGCCTCTCAATTTCGACATCCCGGACGCCTTGGCCCTCGAACTGTTTGGTCTGGACGGCGGCGCCATGGACGGCAAACTGCACACCCCCGCGCAAGGTGCCAAGGACTACAAGTCCAATTATACATACTCACATGAAGGTGGGCGTGATCGTCCTCAGCTTTACAGTCGTCGGCCTCGGGCTCAATGCGCTCCTGAAACATAGTAAAGCCAAAGCGACGCGAGGCAAGTACGCCGTCTACGAAGACGCGTGCACGGGCAACGCTTCTTGACCAGCCCGAAAGTCGCCACATTCTCAAGAGAACGAAACCCCCGCCAGTGCAAGTGCATCGTTGTAAATGTGTATAATTGAGTTTGACGGTAAACCTTTGGGGAGTTGTTATTGGCCGAGCCTCTGTGTGCCTGAGTGTGGGTAGCCGAATGTTGGTCACGAACGACATTTGAAGAGTGTGAAATATGACCTGGATCGTAGCGGCATATGTTCCGAGCTGATGGTACACTGTACGATGCATGACTTGTAGAGAGTAGTGAAGTGATAGAAGGGAACTGACTGATTGACTGTATAATG